TTTTTGCAACTTTTTGAAAAAAATGTTTAGGGTCGTTTCCACACCTAGCGTGAGTCGACACATATTGTAGGTTTTAAATACTAACATAAATTTTGCAATAAGTAGTAATTATTTTTTTTTATATATATATTTTGTTTATGAACATCGTCATGCACTTCTATTACAAACCATAGAAACCGCAATACATAGTTACTTATATAAACTCAGTGGGTTTATTACGTCAGCCTATGAAAATACTTTTTTTTAAGTACCAGCTGTTAGAAGTGTTTCAAATAAAACAAGATAATTTAAGAAGATAAGATAAAATTTTATTTCTAAATTGATTTAATAAGGTGAATAAAACATGGATCATTATTAATATTATTAAAACCACTCATCATTATAGTATCAATGTAGTATTTTTGAATGTACAATAAGTATGAGCAAAAAAAAAGTCATTCCATACATATCGTATGTCCAATAAATAATCAACTTGGTTCTTTTTTACATAAAAAAAAATTATTTTACTTAGATTCTTTTACAATGGCAAGACAAAAATATAAGACAAAAGTTTGTAGCTAAGAGATGCTATTGATGCTGTTAAAAAAGGTATGGTTGTGTACAAAGCGAGCAAGAAGTTTGGAATTCCTTATCAGACGCTTTGTGATAAAATATCTGGAAAAATTTCTCTGAAGATACAACACTGTGATTATGAATCAGTACAAGGTGAACACATTGAAACTAAATTAGGCGAGTTGGTTACTAACATGCACCAGAATGGGATCTGCCATGTCTGTAGTACAGCTATTTTTAGTGTGCAAAATACTTGAATTCCAACAATATAAAAACACAATTTACTAACAACCGTCCAGCAAAAGGTTAGTTTTATGCATTTCTTCTTAAACCGAGCTAGAGGAGGAATAACTTAAAAAGCCATAAAACATTGGTTTACTGAAATTCCAAAGCTTTTAGGAGAAAACGCTCAATATTTAAATGATTCAATGCACGTTTTCAATATGGATGAGAGTGGTTTTCAGTTGTCACCAAAAACTAATTTATTAATTTGTGAACGAGGAAAAAATACATATGAAGAAAGTACTCAAAGTAATAAAAGAAGCATCACCACTTTATTTGCAGTAAATGCCAGCGGAACCTTTGCTCCATCATTAACAATTTTTATATATGTTCGTCTTCCAAATAGAATTATAAATACTGCTCAATCAGGATGGGTTATTGGAAAAAGTGAATATGGTTGCATGACCACAGAATGTTTTTTTGAGTATATTACAAACATTTTTCATCCAATTTTGATAAAAGAAGAAATTCCTTTACCAGTTATTATTTTTGTGATATCATGCGTCACATTTTTCTATTGAACTTAGAAATTTTGCTCTAAAAATGGAATAATTTTTGTTGCTTTGCTCCCAAATGCAACATATATTTTGCAGCCGCTCGATGTGGCAGTTTTTGGGCTAATGAAAGCAAAGTGGAAATCTTTTTGGCGACAATGGCGCATTGACCATTAAGGAAAAGAAATAAACAATGAAAATGTACCAGAGTTAAATTCATTTATAATCGATCCTTCTATGGCAAATAATATTAAAAGTGCTTTTAAAAATACCAGAATATTTCCATTTGGTGCTAATAGTGTGGACTACACAAAAATTGTTCAAAGATTATCTGAGTCAACTGTCGCTTCGACTCATTTAGAAGAGAATCAATCAAGCGTGACTTTATTCGCTTCCTCTCCCATAAACTTTATTGAAAACTGCATTGATTCAAGTATTTTAGAGCAATTTAAAATAGCTGTCGAACATTTAGGTTGGAAAGGTGATCTTGAATTACTCCAGCTGTATCATTTTTGGAAAAGCGCCTCATCTGAAACATATAAGACCGCACTTTTACTTGATCAACAACTTGTAATTTAGAAAATGTGCAAGTTAAAACCGGTATGGAAATGCCTGATTGCAATATTGCAGCGGTAATAGAACCAAAACCAGCTTGTTCTAGTTTAAAAATAGCAGCAGAAATCATAAATCCAATTAAAAGTGTTTTAATATGGCCAAAACAACAAGTCCAAACGTCCAAGCGCAAAATAAAATTTTACCATCAGTTGTAAGATTTAAAACGTGGCAGCAAATTCAAAAGACAAAGTTGCAAGAAAAGTCACAATTAAATGATGAAAATTTAAAAAAAAGACAATTAGCTGCAGATAAAAAGTCAAAAAAAGAGGAAGAAAGATTAAGAAAAAAACAAATGGCTATAGAAAAAGTTATTAAATGAAAAAATAAAAAAGAAAGAGAAAACATGAAAATTTTGAAAAAGAAAAAGAAAGTCGCAAAAGAAAAAGTAAGCCTTGAAAAAGTCAGTCAAAGTTCCATTGAGTCAGAAAACGAGTTCCATTGTTAACAATAATTATAATATAAGACTCAGATAATTATGATGAAATTCTATCCTTTCCAGTTTAAAAGATTTGTACTAAAGTAATGGAAATGCTTTCAAAATCTTTAGTTTCAATTCAAAATAATATTTTCATTACTGTATAATTAGTGTTTATTGAATAGTCTTTTTTTAAATTTATATACCTAAAAACGTTTGATAAAATGTTACTAATGCATTAAATTTTCATTTGAAACCGCGAGCGCATTATAAACCAGATTTTAAGATATACGATAAGTGTCAACAATATATACGATAAGTGTGAAACACTTACGATAGTATGGAAGACTGCGCTTTAAATGTTTGATCAAAATAAGTACATTATTGATTTAAATTTCAGAGTGAGAATAGTTTTAAACTAACCCTTATAGTACTACATTGATGGCTACAAAAATTCATTTCTAATAAATTTCCACTTTTTGAGTAATCTAACATATTTTAATAACTTTTGTTAAACTCTCTGTAATTGTGGAAACGACCCTATATAAATTTAAAATTTTTTTTTTTTTCTTTTTAATAATAAATAAATTTCTTCTTTTATAAAACAATCAATAGAAGTAATTTGTAAAAGAGTTTTGCATAACTTTTATTAAACTTTTAAAAGATCAGGTTTAAAGTAATTTTTATTAAATGCAATTAAAAACAACAAAAAGTAATCTCTATTTCAAATTTTTTTAATTTTAATTTAAAGCTAATTTATTTTCTTTTGAATTGTTTTGCTTATTCTTTAGTTTTTAATTTTTTTTCTAGTTTAAGTTTAAGTTAACGTTTATCAGCGCATTTCTGAAACATTTAAATCATCAAAACGTCTAAACAGTCGTGGTTAATTTGTAAACAAAAGAAAAAAAAAAGTTGCGTGGTCAGCAAAAGCATTCGATTGCACGCTATTTATGGTCGGTTGCGTAAAAGTTATGGACATTTGATACATAAAAGACCGGGTGAATAAAAATAAGCAAATGCTTACTCAGTATTTTAAAAGTAATTTCTCAGCTTTATGTGAATAAAAACCTAAGCAATTTTGCTCAAATGTTTCTTCACATAAAGCTGAGAAATCACTCAGCATTTTTGGAGTAAATTGCTCATCCTTATGTAAATAAAAATTTTGAGTAATTTTGCTCATATTTTTATTCAAGTAAAACTGCGCAATTACTCTAATAAAAGCAATTGCTTTTTTTTATTCACCCAGGCTAAAGGTTATGTAAAATGTTACATCTTGTTATGTAAAAATGTTGTCTTGGTTATGTAAAAATAAGACATAAAACTGTAATGTTTGTTGCATCTCAAAAAAAAAAAAAAAAAAAATCTCAATATGTTACATTGTTACATGTCTTCCTCCAATTTAATGTTTAATTTAATATGGTTATTTAATGTTTAATTTAATATGTGCCTCTAAAAACAACTTTTTTTGAAATTGTCTGCTGCTACCCTCTAAATGTGTTCTATGTAATAAATTAACACTAAAGTAAAAGAATTTTTGAATAAAAATTTTTTTTTTACTTTAGTGTTAAAAAGCCGAATGTTAAAAAGAAACAATTCTCTGTTAAAATATTAAGGATAAAAAATCTACAGGGAAAAGAAAGGTATTATGAAACAATTAAGGCTATGTGTAGATGGAAATTGCTTAAAAAATATGTATATTTATGTGTGTGTGCCTTACTTAGAAGATACACTGAAAGGCTTAAATGGTATAAGAAATCTGAATGTGATGACAGTGTATCATTCAGAAACATACAACAAAAAGATTTTTTATATACAAATAAACAAAGATAAATGGTTACAAAGTAAACATATGATCAGTGGGATTTAAAAGAAAAACAAAAAAAAAGTTTAAATCACACTTCAGACATTCTGTGTATAATGATCACGCCTAATCCAAATAAGCTAAACATGCATATGCATGTAAAAAATAAATACACTTATTTAATACAAAAAGTTATATATAAAAGTACAAGCGCACGTTACATAGACTTTTTCTTATAGGGACAATACATACTTGTTACATTAAAATTATACAAATATATTTTACAAACAGATGGCATCTTATATTTTCGTTTTCCTCTTTAAAAAAACAACAAATAAAATGTAGGATAATCATTCTTTTCAATGTTTTTTTTTGTTTTAACTTATTGAAATTTATTGCTGAAAATAACAACCACTCTAAAGAAATAAAAATGAAACATTTTTTACGACAAATATTGCTTTTTTCACGAAAAAATGCAGGTGTTTAGCAATATTTCCTCTAAATTTCCTCTGCGACGGGGGGTACCACCACCCAAATTTTTTTCATATATATTTATATATATATATAACGTCTACAATAAATTGCTACCATTAAACTATTAGAGGTTACCATAAAACATAATTTCTATGTTTTATGGTAACCTATTTGTGTCAAAAAAATTTGACACAAAAAGGTTACCATAAAACATAGAAACAAAGTCGGTGATTTTATCCCGACTTTAAACACTTCAAGGTGTGCATTGGTGAATGCCGACCCTAATTCTAAGTGCTTATATATTTTTTATATTGTTATTTATTCATTTTTTTTTCTAATCTAATGAAAAGCAATCTTTACATTATAGCTAAAATGTCAGAGTCTGATTTATTAAAAGTTGAAGAGTCAAAAAATCTAAAACCATGTTGTGCATGTCCGGAAACAAAGATACCAAGAGATAAGTGGTAAATTAATTTTTCTTTTTTTTTCTCTTATTCTACTCTTTTAAATTTTTTTATAAATTTGGTTTTGTGTTTAGTATAATGGAAAAAGGAGAAGAAAATTGTGAAGATTTAATAGAAGCTCATAAACAATGCATGAGGAGTCTTGGATTCAAAATTTAAGAATATAGTTACTTAATATCAAGTTGTTTTTTTTAACAGCCTTTAAGACAATTACTTTTAGATCTTTTTAAACATTTTTTAAACAATTTTTTTCTTCCTCATATTTAAGTAAATATTAATATATTTATATTTGCTGACCTGCTTGAGGTTGGCAAAAAATTGCCAACCTTTTTTTTTATGTATATAATAAAATTTATTATATATCTATAATAAAATTTATATATATAATAAAATTTATTAATTTATATATATATATATATATATATATATATATATATATATATATATATATATATATATATATATATATATATATATATATATATATATAATAATAAAATTTGTCATATCCATCTAGTCCTAATCACATGGCTATATTGTAAAATCAAAAGTAACCATATTAAATTAAATATTAAATTGGAGGAAGACAATCTAATTTTTTTTATGAAAGTTTTTTATGAAAAAAAAAAGTTCTACATATTATATTGGTTACTTTAGGGTATAAAAAGTACTGATATTTCAATATTTATAGTTATTTATATTTACCAATTCTAAATTAAGATGTAAATTAAAAGTAACCCATCAATAATAAAGTGTGCCAAACAAACATAGAAATATTAGAATATTTAGGAGACCATTACTTGCTGCATGCACTACTATCTACAGCACGGTTTATCATATTCAACCACTTTCTATGAAGTACTTCGTCTTCAGGAAGACTTAAGTTCTTGATTTTTTTTATATTGTTAGTGCAACCTACTGCACAACAACTTTTAGGCATTAAAAAAAAAAATTAACTCAACAAATTGCTACTGGTTTTTTAGTTTATTTTCAATTCAAGATGGTTAATTTTAAAACAAATGAAGTGAGTCACACCAACTGGATGGATACATATAATAAAATTCATTATATATATATATATATATATATATATATATATATATATATATATATATATATATATATATATATATAACTTAAATTGCTAGTTTAGATAAGTACTTTGACATCACATTGAAATGGCCTGCTGCCAGGGGCTTCAGTACATATATATCGACTGACAAATAGCCTGACATGTAACGGAGTGCTGCTACATGGACTGAGGATTTAGGATGGGGCAGCAATCTTTTCTTATATTATTCCTTAGTTTTTAATTTTTTTTCTGAAATCACTGAAATAAAAAACTTGAATTTGTTTAGCTTATCAAAGAACTCTTCCATCACTTTTTGGCTCTGTATTACATGCTGCAACAGTATCTTTCATTTTAGTTCTATATAGGATATGAACTACGACTTCAAACTTCAATTGACAAAATATTGTTTAAAGTTGAAGTTTTGTATATAAATATATATATATATATATATATATATATATATATATATATATATATATATATATATATATATATATATATATATATATATATGTATATATATATATATATATATATATATATATATATATATATATATATATATATATATATATATATATATATATATATATATATATATACATATATATACATATATATATATATATATATATATTTTTTTTTTTTTTTTTGCTAACCCTATATATATATATATATATATATATATATATATATATATATATATATATATATATATATATATATATATATATATATAACTTTTATGCTGTAATTACTCTTGTTAACACTGTATTTATATACAAAATGGTATTTAGAATCTTTCCAAAACCAATCAATCTTTTTTTGTAGCAAGTTGGTTATTTATTATTTTTTATAAAACATATAGCAAGTTATTATAAATATTATTGAAATATGTATTAAAACATTAAAATAGTTAAACACTTATAAAGGAAATAAAAATTATTCTATTAACTAAATTTCAAAGTAGAAGACATTACTAGTTATTTAGTATCTTTATTCTCCTCTCGAATGTCTATATTTCCAAACAAGAGTTCTATAGATGTCATTTTATATTGGTATTTGATCTTTTATTTTTTAAAGCTTATGTTGTAAACTGTAAATTTCAGTACAAAGCCATAAGCAAAATACTATATATAAAAATTGTTAAGCTTTATATTCAGTCTAGAAATGGAAAGTTGTCCAGCAAAAAAAAAATGCTACAGTTTACTAGACTTGTCCTTATTAAGTGCATACAAACATAAAAAAAATTATGTTATGTGCAAGCAAGTTTCATTCAATGAGAGAACATGTTGAAAACTTGTATACAGTTCACAAGGACAAGATTTGTTGGTAAAAATGATACTCATGCTTATCTGTCTATTTTACAGGTTTTGAATATTTTGCATCAGCTACAAGTTTACAACATGTACCGTCAACAAGAGTCACTATGAACAACGGGTTGAAAATAAACATCAGCACCAAGTTTGCTAAAAGGTGAAGAAACACGCGTTAGAGCTATATTTTGTGTTACTTTTATTCAGTTGCAAAACTGAGCTGGTAAAACATCTTTAAGTAAAAAAAAAAGAATCTGGTGGTGAAAATATTGTAATGGTTTTTAACAAATTCATTTTAGATATTTCAAGAACAATCAAAGCTTAGGCACAAATCCATTTGTAAAACAAATCTCCCCATAATCTAAAAAATAAAAACATGAAGTGTTTCCCAAACATCATCCCGAATTTGCTTATCATTACTCTCTAATCTTAAACATTTTAATTATTTTAAACATTTTGACATAAATTAACATAAATTATTTTAAACATTTAGATAAATCATTTAGATGTAATTGCTAAATTATTTTATGTAATTTTGTATAAAAAAATATTTTAACTATGGGTTACATTATTTAAGTTATAAATATCCATGTTAGATTAGCTGAACTTCCTGCTTCTGATCATTCTTATGAAGATTGTTGGTTGATGATGGAAGCCCAAACTTGACTTACCAATGGAAGCTAATCTTACTATTTTAAAAATATTAATATGATCATATAAAGTAAGAAAATTAAGATAATTACTGCATAATGTTGATCAGGCCAATAAATTTTCCAGGAAGCTGGACAGCATAATGTTCTGTTAAAAAAAAATGTAGTGATGTAAAATGTAACAGTTTTCTTCTATGATGCAAAGATGTTTCAAAAGTGTTTATAGTCATCCTGATTGACAATAATTTACAAGGTTGCAGCATGGTGTTGCAAACTTGTTGATTACATGTTGTATGTTGAACATGTTAGTATAAAAATTAGTTTGCAACATTTATATTGTCTTTGAATAACTCAATTGTCATAATAATTTTTATAGTACTTTTTTTTTGGTCAAAAATAATCTGAACATGTTTTTAATTTAGTGTAATTAATTAACATCATTTATAGTTGATGGAGTCCCTTTTTGCACTATAGATATAATGTGCTAGTAGACTCATGGTAAAACATTTGGCTCGCAATCAGAAGGTTGGGGTTCAAATTACCTCTGCTGAAATTATTGTGTTCAATCTATTTCTCCACACATCGCCTTTGTTTAAAAATAATAATTGTAGTAAAAATGGTAATGTTAAGGATTGATACAAAACATTTTTTAAAAATGAGTTGCTACCTTGACTAAAGTGGTCACTGGAGAAATAGGGAGGTGAATTTATGAAATTAAAAATAAAATTATCGTACACATACAATAATTAAAATTTGGTATTTTGATCGGTTTAAAAAAAAAAAAAAAAAAAAAAAAAAAAAAAAAAAAACCATTTGGGTTGGGTTTTTTTAAAGAATCCAGGGTTTTTTCCAACCCTGATATTTATATATATATATATATATATATATATATATATATATATATATATATATATATATATATATATATATATATATATATATATATATATATATATATATATATATATATAGAGAGAGAGAGAGAGAGAGAGAGAGAGAGAGAGAGAGAGAGAGAGAGAGAGGGAGAAAGAGGCCTTGGCAAAGAGCAGCCGCTTTAGCTATTGCTCTCGCCCACACTCCCCTAAAACAGTTAATGAGAGCAATTTATGGCTCTCGCAAAAGTATAATTTTTTCTCTCAAAAGTTTAGTTATCATTGTAACTAAAATTAAAAATGCATTTTTAATAATTCTTTTTTTATAAGCAGTAAAAACAACACTCTAGATGAGCGTTGTTAAGAACATTTAGAGAATTTAGAGGAGCAGCTGGCTTAACTCACCATATTCGTTTTAGGAGAGCTTTTGCCGCGCTTGCACTCATTTCTTCCCACCAAGGCCTGTTTATATATATATATATATATATATATATATATATATATATATATATATATATATATATATATATATATATATATATATATATATATATATATATATATATATAATAATTATTTTTATTATTGTATTTATTAGGGTTGCTTAGTATGCTAATTTGTTTTCAGAACATAGCTAATTGAAGTTTTTATTTGCCCTGAAGGTCCCTCAAAGCCCCCAAATTGTCAGATTCCTAATATTATTGAAAAAAAAATATTTAAAAATATGTTGACTTATTACTCAAAAGAAGCTAAAAAATTTTAAACAAAAAATTAAAAAAAGTTAATATTCACAAGGTTAATAATAATAAGTATTTTTTAAGTTGTTTTTTATAATATATAAATCTAATTTATAAAATTTTGCTTCTTTTGAGTACCGGGTTGATGTATTTTTAAAATAATATCAGGGACCTGTCAAATGTTTTGGGGCTTTGTTTTTTTAACAATATTAGGGATCTGTCAAATGTTTGGGGGCTTTGGGGCAAATGTTTAGGGCCTGTCAAATGTCTGAGGGACCTTCAGGGCAAATAATAAAACTTAGTAAAAAATATTTTTGAACCACAATATGACAGTCGATTGGGAAAAACAAATACAACTATTCATGAAAGTTTAAACAAGGGTGTAATTTTAATTAAGTAGGTTTAGTTTTTTCTTAATAAAAAAAAAGTAAAAATGATTTCGACTTTTTTTTATTTATTAATGAAAAATTAATTAGGTTTACAATAAATGTGAACTTGTTATGAAATTATTTGTTTTAATTAAGAAAA